CCCCTTCCACAATCATCTTCATCCCTTCCACAATCATCTTCATCTCCTTTAAGTCCTTTCTACAATCATCTTCATCATCTCCAATATGAACAAAGTGCCAAACAAATTATGAGGATTGTAAAAAGGAAGCAAAGGAACTACAATTTCAGAAATTATAGGAACAAGGACCACCGATTTCCCTAAATTTATGCAAATGAAATCCAGCATTGCCTCCTCCGATTCCTTCAATTTTGCACTCAAAAACCCAACCCCTGCTGTCACCCCCTCTACAATCATCTCCATCTCCTTTTTTGCCTCCTCTACAATCATTGAAAACTTAAAAAAGAAAAAGAGACCCAACAAAACACTTACCGTCCTTCGATTATCGAAGATGATGAATTGTAGTGGCAGAATTGGGTCGACAACGTGGGATTGTGTTTGAAAAAATTGAAGGAATCAAAGGAGTCGGGGAGATGAGGAGGCGATTGAGATGATTGCAGAAGAGCGAAGAAAGAGATGGGGATGATTGTCAGGGGAGGCAAGGAGCAGGGGCTGAAGAAAGGAAAATCTATATGGAAATGAATTAAAATAAAGGAGATGGAGATGATTTAAGATAAATTAACAAACCTAGTTTTGGGTTTCCAAAATCTATATGGAAATGAGAGGAAATGAAGGAAGCAACCATGGCTAGACCATTTAAAAACAAACCTAGAAAAAAAAAAACCTAGATCTAGGTTTTCTCTATTATAACTAAAATTGCAATTTCAATTCTCATCATTCAATTTCAACACTATTATAACCACAATCATAGCAACCAAACTTGCAAAACCCAAATAAATTAGTTTGCAACTCCCTCGAGCTCATGTGACAAAGGAACATAAATCTTGATTTCTTTTGTTCTATGACACTTCGAGCTCATTAGGAGGCATGGTTATGTCTCTTGGCTTTTAATTGCCTCAATCTCACATGAGGGAAAAGGGGGAAAAGGAGAGATGGAGATGATTCCAGAGGGAGCGACATTACCGATGGGTTTTTTGAGTGAAAATTTGAAGGAATCAGAAGAGACCAGGAGTAGGGGTTAGATTTTTTAGAGAAGAGACGAGCAGCAGGGTGGGTTTCTGAGAAGAAAACAACGCCGTTTTGGTTGTGACTCCAATTTTTTTGGGAGATAAGATTGATGTGCACTTTATCATATATAAAATTTATATAGAAATAAATATCTGATCATATTTATAATATACTAAAGGTTTTTATTTTTGTGTTAAAAAATGTTAAAGAGATCTTAATTTAAGAAAAAAATATTACACAATTTAAATTATATTAAATTATTTATTAAATGAAAAATTAACTCTTTAATTTTAAATTCTTTTTTTTGTTTAATAATTTTTTTTATAATTAGATAAGATTCCTAATATAAACTACGAATATAGTGTGTTTGATTTTTGTTATTTATTTTAAATTTCAGTTAAATTTTTATAAATTAATTAAAAAATTCACCTTTTTAGGATTTATTATATAATAAAATAATAAAAATATATTTTATAGAGTAATTATATATTAAAAATATATTTTACTTTATAAATTTATTAAAATATTCTTAATTAAATTATTTTTCATATTGTTTTATTAAATAATTTAATTAAAAATATTTTAATAAATTTATAAAGTAAATTATATTTTTAATGTATAATTTAAATTATAATACATAAATTTTATAAAATAATTATTAATATTTAATTTGTATATCTAATATGACCTTTACAGGTACATGATTAAAATATTAAAAAATGATAAACATAAAGTCGTACTAGTAATTTAATTGATTGAGGACTTGACGTGACAAAAAATTTGATTGACGTGTGTATTCCGAATAATTCAAGGAGGGACCCCTAAAATAATAAAACATTTTAAACGTCGAAGACTCGGAAAGGTTCTAGAAACTTGAATCCCGTGAGTTTTCCCCAAAAAAAAAAAAAAAAAAAAGCAAGGCGTGAGGGTTCTCAGGCCTTCTGGCCCATTTCCTTCCTCTTATTATGGGTTTTTTCTGTTTTGGGCCTTTAGGTAGGATTTTCGCTGGGAACATCTCTACCTCGCGTTTTCCCTGGGTATGGCCTCCTCCTTCTTCTTCGTTTTTTGAACTGTAATTTGATGTTTCTGGGTCCGTTGAAGGTTTGATTCATTCACCCTGTGAAATATTCTTTGGAAATTATTTGAATTGGAATATAATTAGTATGAAATGCAGTTTGATTTAGGCAAAACTCAACATTAAACTTTCAATTTTATCTTAAATTCTTGACTAAACCCTAAATTTTTATGAAAATAAATTATTAGATGATTTAACTCTTTTTTTATATATATAGTGAACTTAATGCCCATTTATGTATCATTTGCAACATATCATTGCCCACATAACAGGTATTAACATTGTTTATATAAATATAAATAGATGTTAAATTCATTGTAAAAAAATATGTTGAATTATTCAAATAGATAAACTTAAAAGTTTATTTATTTCAATAAAAATCTAAACTTAATCAATAATTTATGATAAGTTTGGGAGTTTATCATAGGATTTTTCCTTTGATTTAGAAGCAGCCACTTCCGCTTTTTGGGTCATTTAATATATTGAGTTAAACTTAACTAAGAAATACCAAAGATTCAAGTGTTTGGAGATTTTGAGAGGTCACAATTACAATTGGTCTTTCGTATGAGCTCTCATTCAAGCCAAAAAATCTTGAAGCATGACAGTACTGGAACACAAGCATGACCTTCTGAGGAAAAAAATTTGTTCCAAATCTCCTTTCTCATAGAACATTATTCGCTGGGGCAAGCCAGTTTTCATAAAACTTGAATGGCAAATAGTAGAGCAGCAGAGACCTTAATTTTGGAAGGATAACCACCGCCCAAACACTCCATTTAAGCCCCTCTAATTTCCTCCGCTTCACGCCATTTTGGGTTTGACAAACTCAGGCCAGCCCACTGTATGCCTTAGGTAAAATAGTTCTTGAAGCTGCTGAAAGATGTGCTGCATAACGTCAGAAAATTCTTATACCAATCAAGGTCAGCATGGCTTCTCCGAGCATTTCAGTTTATTTTTCAGAGAATACTTTCACCCGAGAGAGGAATTAAAGAAATTCTATTTCAATATTGCTTACCATGAGTAGTTTATATTGATTGTGAAAATTATGTATGTAGGCACAACACAAAATTTGTATTCAACTTAAATCAATTGGCATCGCAATAGGTGAAGTGGCATTCTTTATATTGAATCCACAAATTTTTTATTTTTATACTTAATATGAGATTTTTTCACTTAACACACTCCTTCACGTGTAGTCTAACTATTAATCGTTATGAATGTCGGGTTCTGTCATGTGGGTTAACACGCCCCTTAAATGCAAGTTCAGTACCTTCAAGAGCTTCTTAAAGCAAAATTTGAAATCTGATACTATGTAAAAATTATGTATGTGGGTTCAACATAAGGATTGCATCCAACTTAAAACCAATTTGGCAATAAGTGGAGTGGCTTTTTATACTCAATGTGAGATTTTTTCACTTAACACACTCCTTCACGTGCAGTCTCACTATTAATCGTTATGAATGTCGGGTTCTATCATATGGGTTAACACGCTCCTTAAATGCAGGTTCAATACCTTCGAGGGCTTCTTAAAGCAAAATTTGAAATCTGATACTATGTAAAAATTATGTATGTGGGTTCAACACAAAAATTGCATCCAACTTAAAACCAATTTGGCAATAAGTGGAGTGGCCTTATTTATATTTAACCTACAAACTTCTTATTTTTATACTTAATGTTGGATTTTCCCACTTAACCTTGATTACCATTATATCACTCCATTTGTCTTATAATAATTGTTTTTTTTTCAATAAAAAATTTTAAAATTATTTATGTATTTATTTAAACTTCTTATTTTTATACTTAATGTTGGATTTTCCCACTTAACCTTGATTACCATTATATCACTCCATTTGTCTTATAATAATTGTTTTTTTTTTCAATCAAAAATTTTAAAATTATTTATGTATTTATTTATATTTTAAAATTTTAAAAATAAAATAAGATTTTTTATAATAAAATAATTAATCAAATTAAATGGATAATAATAATATTAAAGTAGAAAAAATATTTATTTATTTTAAAAAATAAAAAATAAAAAATAACTTAATATAAATTTAAAATTAAAATTCGACAGTTATTTTGAAAAAAAAAGAAGTGTAAATCTTGTTGTTGTTTCAAACTCAGCCAGAATGCAGGGATTGTGATATATATTGCGAATTTGTCGTGCAGTTATCTTATGGAGCAATCACTCCCAAAGAACACAGCCCCAGTAGACGGTATGCACTACACAGTCATGCGCAAGATGAAGCAGAGACAGAACAGTAGCTTCACATAACTTACCTGTATATGGACAAATCGGAACCAATGTTGTCAAGAGAGGGAAAGAACAAATGGGGAATTTTTTGCACATGTTCTGTACACCGGCTCATGTAAAATTTGTTATTTTCAAAATCTGACCACCATGAATCGCAATATTTATATTTGATAAATTTTTGAGGTGTATTTTTCATTAATCTATATCTCTATTTCGTTTGATGAGAGCGCAACTATTGAAGTTTTGAGAATACATTGTTATGGTTATTCCACCTCTAGATTTTGAATGGAAAATCGAAATGAAGATAAAATTAGGGATGACAATTCTCCCAGTTCTCCGTGGGGCTCCGCGGGATCCCCATCACAGGGATGGGGCGGGGAAGAATATTCTTTCCAACAGGACGGGAATGGAGACCATTTTTTCCTGTGAAATTTCACAGGAAATTTTCTCCACCCCGCAGGACTGCGCAAAAATCCCCATTCCCGCAAAAAAAAAAAAGTTTTTATTTTAAAATTAATTTATTCTTTAAACTTAAACTCAAAGCTAAACTCAAATCCAATCTAATTACAATTAAATTTAACCCAATACTATCCAACCCAACCCAACCCATTTTCCTACATTTAACCCTAACCCTAATTTATTTTAATTCTCATCACTCACGGTCTCACTCTCAAATCTCAATCTTTGTCTGCGGCTCGAGAAAGTCTGCTGTATCCCCGGGATACAGCAACGTGGTATCCCAACCCAATGGGAAAACACCACATCAACAATTTTTTCAGACTTCATCAATCCCAAACCCAAAAAACAACTGATGTGGTGTTTTCCCATTGGGTTGAGATACCACGTCTGCTGTATCCCGGGGATACAGCAGACTTTCTCCTGCGGCTCACCCATCTCTCACTTTCATCTCACCTTCTCAGTTTCCTCTGTTGTAGCTACTGTCTAAGCTTGCTGTCGAATTCATCTCCTCTATTGCTGCTGAAGCCATCTACTCTGCTGTTGCCGGATCCATCTGCTCTGCTGCTGTTGTCGAAGACATATGCTTTGTTGCCAAATCCATCTCCTCTGCTGCTGTTGTCGCTGAATCCATCTTCTCTGTTGCTGTTGCTGCTACCGAATCCATCTTCTTTGCTGCTGTCGAAGCCATCTTCTTTGCTGCTGCCAAAGCCATCTGCTTTGCTGCTGCTGGATGCATCTGCTTTGCTGCTACCGGATCCATCTACTTTGCTGCTGCCGAATCCAATTGTCGAAGCCATCTGCTCTGCTACCGCTGGATGCATCTGCTCTGTTGTTACTAGATCCATCTGCTCTGTTGCTGCTGCTAGAGCGATTTGCTGTTGCTACTGAAGCCATCTGCTACTGCTGCCAGAGCCATTTGATATTAATTTATGGGGAATGGGGATACCCGCGAGAAACAAGGACAGGAAGCAAAATTTTCCCTCATCAAAAACCCCCGTGAGGATCTCGTTCTCGTGATTCATGGGGACGAGGATGGGGAATGGCTCACCGGCCCTGCATGATCCGTGGACATCCCTAGATAAAATCTCATTTGAAGTTTCCAACAGAAAATCTCATTTACACATAGCCAGAGTGACAAATTATTGATATTATGGTCTTTTTTGTGATAGCATAATTAATTAAAATAAATAAATAAATAATAAAATTAAAATTAAAATATTTATTTATTTAAAAATAAAAATAATTAATTTAAAATAAATTCACAATTAAAAAATTACAATTATTTTAAGGGGTTAGTGACTGTATTTAAAAACTAAAATTTTACTTTATTAAATGTTAATATTTAAATTTAATAAAATAAATTTTAATATTTTAAATTAAATTTAATACAATAAAATAAATTAAAATTAAAATTAAAATTGTTTTTTTTTTTAAATCTTAATTACACAATAAAAAACAATTATCTTTCATCTTTTATTCTACACTACTCATATCATGCGATTCATATTTAAGAGTTTTTACTTTCAACGAAAAAAATAATTATTAAATTATTTAAATTATTAACAATTAAAACTAAAATTTTAATTTATTTTAAAAATTAAAATTGATACA